CCCACAACTGTGTGCCCCAAAAGGTAAGCGAGGGAGAGCAAAGGCGCGACAGATAGAGAGAGAAAGAGAGAGAGAGAGCAGGGCAGCGAGAAGTGCGTGAGCGTGGAGAAAGAGACAGGGACCGGGAGTCTGGAAGACTTGGGAGACCGGGAGACTGGAAGATTGGGAGACTGGAAGACTTGGAAGACTGGAGGAGCGAAGAACTGCGTCTGTCATGGTCGATATTGCGTTGACACCAAATTTGCATTAAAATGCAATTGTGAACGCAGAACTCGCAAGGCGACGCGTCTCGTCTCAGTTTGCTTCGCTTCGGTTCGATACACTCAGCGAAATTCAATTTAAATTAGAGAGCATACAATTTATAAAGATAATTTAAAAGTTGAGGTTATTGTAATTCAAATAATTAAAGGCATAAAGCTAGTCATTAAAATCATAATTCTTATACCCTTACATAGTACTTTAATTTCATTCAGAAGCTTAAAACTAAGTGAAGGAGCCATTTCCGACCCTATAAATCATATATATTCTTGATCAGCATGAAAAGCCGAATCGATTTAGCCATCTCCCACAGAAAAATAAAATTTTAGATTTTTTGTTCGAAATTTTATCCTTATTTTCCATTAATAAAAAATTTTAAAATTGATAAAAATTTAAATTGAAATAAACTTTAAAATAAGTATGCAGATTTATTAACCTATTAAAAACTAACATAGAACAGCTTACCGAATTGAAATTAATTTATTTTTGGCTTAGTTATGAGTTTTTTAAATTTTGATTTGTAGTAAAATTTGCATATAAAAATATAGTAATATCGATTAAAAAATGGTATTTCACCTCCAGTCAGAAGCTTAAAACTAAGTGAAGGAATCATTTCCGACCCTATAAATCATATATATTCTTGATCAGCATCAGCAGGCGAATCGATCTAGCTATCTCCGGAAGAAAACTTAAATTTAAATTTTTTTCCGAAATGTTGTTATTTTACATCATTAAAAGTTGAAAAAATTGATAAAAATTTAAATGTATTTAAATTTGATAATAAATATGCAGATATGTTAACCTAGCAAAAACTAACATAGAACAGCTTACCGAATTAAATTTAATGCATTTTTGGAGAAGTTATGAATTTTTTAAACTTTGATTTGTCAAACAAAATTGTCATATAAAAATATTGATAAATATAGTTTTAAAAATGCAAATATTTTAAGGTTAGTTATGATCGATTTTAGATTCAATCTTATAATTCAAATGCAATCTTCAGCCTCCCGTAGGATGTTTTCTAAACTACTGATAAATAGTGAGTACTGAGACTATCCATAAACACACATCTATTCCATATATTTGTTGTTAATAAAATTTCTCTCAGTGCATGTACCCCCTCCATGGGGTAATGCATCTTTAGTGTCTATTGAGCAGGACATTAGTCACGTGGCCAGCCGTGGGCCGAAGGCAAAAAGAAAACCTGAGGAAAATGCGGCGGGGCGACAGACACAACGCCGCGAAATATCAATTAAATCGCAGAAAATAGAAAGTGAATTCTTTTTTGCGCTTTGATCTTTGCCTGGTTTACGATCTTCTCGAGAATCTGCAAAAGATCTTTGACTAACTGGAGACCGGCGACTGGCAACTAGCGACTAGCGACACCAATTAAAAATAGTTTTGACACATCGCAAAGTCCGGGCGACAATTTCAGCAATAAATTAATTACAGCACAAATTTCTTTCTTTTTTTTAGAGCTCGGGAGAAAGCCCTGAAAATGCATTTGGCGGATTTCTGATTATATTTTTTTTTTTGCAGATTTTTCGTTTCGTCTTTATGGTGGGCGTGTGTGTGCACACTCAGGCCAACTTGTGTGTGTGTGTGTGGGCGTCTTTACTTCAGTTTACGTATCTCTTTCTGCGAGTCTTTAACACCACAGAAGAATTCAATGAGTGCACAGGGAGAAAATTATACCTAAAACTTCTGATAAATTAGGAAATCTTGAATATATTTATACACTTGCAGGGTATTATAATTTCAGCCAGAAGTTTGCAACGCAGTGAAGAAGGCACCTTCGACCATATAAAGTATATATATTCTTGATTAGGATCAACAGCCGAGTCGATCTAGCCATTTCCGTCTGTCCGTCTGTCCGTCTGTCCGTTTCTACGCAAACTAGTCTCTCAGTTTTGAAGCTATCTGAATGAAACTTTGTAGTTAGTCTTCTATATACTCTGACTCGTATATATGTCGGAACGGGCCGGATCGGACGACTATATCATATAGCTGCCATAGTAATGATCGGAAAATTTATACAAAAAAAATTTAACATTCTCAGTTTTCAACAGAATTTAATCAAATTTAAGATATAGCCATTTCATATTGTTCTACAATTTTGTGTAAAATTTTATGAAAATCGGACGACTATATCATATAGGTGCCATACAAACGATCGTTAGATGTCAAGGAAAAATGCAAATCTGTAAATGTAAACCTGAAAATATAATATGTATAGCTGAATGAAATGAAAGCAGGTATTACTTCATTGTTTTTTAACACATATATATATAATTTATATTGTATGGATTCCTAGTCATCAAAGTTCTATCAGTAAGGGTATATAAACTTCGGCGTGCCGAAGTTAGCTTCCTTTCTCGTTTTAATTTAATGGTTTTAAAGAGATTTAATTTGTTGTAGTGTATAAGACAAGGGCCTGTTCCTCTTCCTGGGTGATAGTCAAAGCCAGGGGGCAGTAGTCCCTGCCATCGTTGATCTCAAGAGGTTTTTTTATAAAGTGTTTGCTAGCCTGTTGTTGGCAGACAACTCAGCCACTAGGCTTGAAAGTTGAAAGCTCCTAAAGAAGGAAATATAACCAAAAAAAAGAGAGTATCTATATACATATGTAACTATATATGTATATTTATAAATATAGCAAAAGAAACTGCAACCTGCTGCCTCTATCAATTATTCACACATCATCAATGAACTTAAATTACAGAGACATATAAAACTACTATATATATACATATACCTTACTTGGCCACTACTCTTTTTCCTGCTTTATTTATTTACTTCTAATTTTTTGTTTTATTTGTTTATGAAACCCCCTCGTTTTTTTTTTTGTGAACGTGTCTGCATATTGTTTCGTTCATGTCAAATTATTGACCCGCGCCCGGCATTTTGAAATGTTTATGCCTTTTCATGACTGAGATGTGCAATTGATAAATCCCCTGGAAATTATGAATATGCAACGTGCCGGAGATGAAGATTCCTTCCCAGCAGCAAAAGTTCCCAAGTTCTTTGGGAGCCAAAAGAAAAAAAGACTCGACACCGCCCGCTGACTTTTGAGCCAGGTCGGTAGCCAGACCTAGACAGGGTTCATATGTTTATGCGGCAAAAGAGAAATTCTCAAATTTATATCATTTATGCATACAAAAAAATAATTGAATTAGGCAAACCTTATTTGAATATTTAAATTTTGGGTTTTTGAAGCTGGCATAAACCCAAGGCAGAACCCCCTGTAAGCTTCGATCCTGGTTGGGTTTTTATCAGCAACAAGCGATCAATACAGCAGCAATCAATATGGTCAATAAAGTTCAGGCCTATATGGGGTTTTTCTTAGGTGGGGAGAAGAGGAGGTGAAAAAGGAGGGACTCCAAAGGAGCCTCGAGTTGAACAAGGCAACGTGATGTACAGCGCTGAAATTGAAACCCAAGAAGCCTGCCTCAAAGATCACACTCTTGCATATGCAAGTGGCTGACTCCTCAGGAGGGGTTGGGTTAAGACTGCAGGCTACAGGGTGTTAAGAGTCCACTGGGTACGGATTGTTGTTGTTGTTGTTGTTGTTGTTGTAGGGGAGATGGAGGGTTAAGACAGCGGGACATCGGGTCTTCGAGACACTGGAAGATCGGGCATACCGTCACCGTCTCTTGTTGTCACTGTTGTTGTCGCTTGATCGCAAATTTGCCATGGCAAGCTTGACAACTTGCAAGGAGTCAGAACCAAAAAGGCACTGAGAGAAATTTTGGGGAATTTTTTAGAGCAAAGGGAAAATAAGTACCTGTAATAAGAGATCATAAAATATATGTTTCAAGGGATTCAGACAGCTGTAAGTCAGGTCCATCAATATCATACTTATAAGTAACATTTTTATTAGTAGGTCAAATTGCTCTATTAGTTTTAGAATCGGCTGTTGCCATAAGAACTCTATAATGTCTACACACTCGAATCACCCTTTTCATTCAATTCATGAAATATTTTATAATACCTGACTAGCTTTATGATTTTTCCCTCCCTGAGAGACAATAAAATATATATTTTTCTAGCTGTAAGTCAAGGTTTAAATGTTTAATCAATAACTAAGAAGCTTCTGGATTTTACCCAAATAAATTAAGTTATTAATGGTAATTTTTAGCAGTGCAAAAAGCCAAGAATTGCTTAGGTTGTAGAAGAGGGGAAGTCAGGCAAAGAAGTTTAAGCTGGAAACCAGGCAAAACCATGAAAATCAAGTTAGCAAATGCAGTCGCAAAGCCGGCACCTTAAAATAATGTTACAAAACTTTTTCTCTTCTTTATTTTTTTTTTGGCATGTAAGCCAAGTACGGCCCTGTAACCAATTCGAAGCAACGCCATGCCAGACCCCAAAGACAACCCCAACTCCCAAAATCCCAACCCCAACACCGAACTGCAATCCTACCGATCCTCCGGCAGAAACAACAAATTGGAGATCACGGTTTTCATGTACTACATGCAAATTCATTGCTACTGTGGCTCCTCGCTCGCTGCAGCCAACTTCAACTACTACTGTGTGCGCCATAACCATAAAGGCAGTGCAGTGAGCCGAAGGAGCCACTGGCCAGTGGCTGCTGTCAGCCGGAAGAGGAGCAAGTTAAATAAACAATCCGAAACCGAAACAACACACTGAGAAGACCCAACTCTTGGGGAGTCATTCACAAAAAAAAAAAAAAAACGAAGAAAAGATGCAAATGCGCTACGCAACAAATTTTAAGGTCACTCACTTACCCCAAGTCCAAGTAGATAGTTTTTCCCAGGGGTTTTCCTTAACACAATGGGTTGGAAAAAAAATACACAAAAGAAGTCTGCAATGAAATGAAAAAATTAGTAAATAAATAATAAGGTAATAATAAACATTAAAGAAGTATTCGATATTCTACAGCCACCTGATATTGTAAGTTTTATTTAGCTTATTATTAAAGATACTTATTCGAATCAATATACCCTTGAAAACCCCGAGTAGCTCAGTTTTTGGCATTATGCTAAGTAGCTAAGAATTGTTTGATCAGCGCCTTTTCAACTATCGAGTATTCGTCGCCTGTTTCTTTTTTTTTTCTTTTTTATGGGCACAGGAAATCGTAGACGCCACCTCGTCGTGTCCTTTTTCCCTTCCCCAACCCATGCCCCCGTCATGCCCTATGCCCCAATCCCTGCTCTGAGCAAGGAACAAAGCACGTGGCTACACATTCTAGAATTTAAGTGATATATATATTTATGAAATAATCATTTAATTGAACAATTGTCCGTATCGATTGCCTTGGAGACAGACTTCTGTGGAATCTGTGGCCTAATCGGTATCGAGTTTCAATGGCAAGTCTGCCAGCACACACTCACCATTCAAATGGCAATATTTGTTTGTTATTTTTTAAGAGAGTTTAATTCAGCTTTTTTCCAGCGTAAACACAATTCACTCGCGATTAAAACTGGGACACTTGTCGATGCCGAAGTCGACCACGTTCTATATGGCTTAAGCCTTCGATTGACTGACGAAAGAAAGCCGACGTTTCGGAAGGCCATCGATTGGCAATCGTTTGTCAAAGCTATATTATGATTGATATCGATATTTAATAAATTATTATCGATTAGTTGAGGGTTGCCGAGTGGCATTGAGGCAAAAAGCTTTTGATTTTTAGAGGTAGCTACGAAGGAAAGGTAAAAGAAATGTATTACAAAATTGAATTAAATAAAATAAGAGCTACCTTGCCATGATTTTTTCAATGAAATTAAATTGTAGTTTAAAAATATTTATTAGAAAATTAAATAATATAAATCAGAGCTGCCTTGCCATGATTTTTTTTTCAATGAAATTAAATTGTAATTAAATAATATTTATTACAAAATTAAATAATATAAAGGAAGAGCTACGTTGCCATGATTTTTTCAATGAAATTAAATTGTAATTAAATAATATTTATTACAAAATTAAATAATATAAAGGAAGAGCTACCTTGCCATCTTTTTTTCAATGGAATTAAATTGTTGTTCAAAGATATTTATTAGAAAATTAAATAATATAATATTAGAGCTACCTTGCAATGATTTTTTCAGTGAAATTAAATTGTAATTAAATAATATTTATTAAAAATTAAATAATATAAAGGAAGAGCTACGTTGCCATGATTTTTAAAGAAATTTAATTTTAAATTTCGGCCAAAAGAGTGGCAAAATCATAGCCAGTCGTGAAACGCGTTCAAGCCAAAAAAATAAACTTAAGTAGCTCATCAATTAACCCATTTTTACTCATTATTATAAAGCTTCGATGGACATAATTATTAAATGCAAAAATGATTAATTTTTTTTTTAACTTTTGCTTTTCTTTTTTTATTTTAAAAACCATAAATTTCTGCCGTTTCTTGTTTACACTCTCCGGAAATGCGAACAGCAGCAGCAGAAAAAAATTGTAACAACAGAAACAAGAAAAAATAAAAAACAATTCAAACATTTCCTGTGCCCAGGTAGTAGCTCTCCCGAGATTGGCCTTAAAAATTATTTATATATTTTTTTTTGTTAGAAAATCAAACAATTAACCTCGAACTTGCCGCTTGTCGCGCTTACAACATGTTTGAGACATAAAAATTTCCAATTAATTTTTGTTCGCCGGCTTGTGTGTTTTTATTTTTTTTAGTGGCAACTTCCACGGAAATAAAAAAAGAAGAAGCTGAAAAAAATTGTCACAGCCGCCGTTTACAAATAATTTCTGTGGCTGCTCGTTTTTTTCGGTTTGGTTTATTTTTTTCGGCTCTTTGGGGTTTTCAATGGAAACGAAACACATAAAACATGGCCAAACAAGACCGGGCCAAAACCAAACCGAATGACTGATGAACAAACTGACCAACTGATGGAATGACGGTATGCCATAAAGGGATAAAAAATAAATAAATAAAATAAAAGTCAAACACTCGTGCGGCAATTAAAAAGTTTGCTCTGATTGACCTTTTTTGACCCTTTGAAATAAGCGGTCGATAATTTTAAAAATTATTGGGATAAATTAAGCGAGAATTTTTCTGGTTAAAAGTATATATTTTCTTGTTTAAAAAAATATATAAAAATATAATCCATGAATTTTAATTAGGATTTTGTACTTAGTTTATGAGGTTTTCTTAATTGTATAAAATTACTTAGAGGATTAAAAAATGTATGTTTTGAATTATAATAAGGAATAGCATAAATACAATATTAAATAAAAATTCGAAAAGAATACTAAGGTGGTCTTTTTTAATTAAAAATAAGTTAAATAAGTAAAAATATTTTTTTGTTGTTACTTAATTTAATTGTCTAAAAATTGATATATTTTTAGGAAAAAATATTACATAAAATATATAAGCATTGTACAATATTTAAGTAATATTTCAGTCATGAGACCTTTTTTTAATATTTAAAATAACTTAGAGGATTAATCTATGTATGACTTCAATACAAAAAATAGTAATAAATCTATAATATTTATAAAAAATTAAAATCGAAACTATATTAAGTTTAGGTAGCTTTATTTGTGTAATATTTGATTTGTAGGCATTTTTATATTATTTTCAACAACTAAGAACCTTAAAAAAAGTATTCAATAAATAACATTAAATAGTAATTAATATATAAACTAATTTAAATATCATTAAGCATTAATAATACAAAGTTTAAGCAGCTTTAATAGGTTTTCCCATACTTGAAAGCAACCATAAATCAAATAAAATAGTTTTTAAATCAAAAACTACTCAAGAATTAATATTTAAACTTGACCAAGTTCACTTTAAATTATGTGGGTAATTTATTTATTAAATTTTTTAAGCAAATATTAAACTCAAACCAAGTTCAATTCAAGGGATTCCGAGTTATTCCAATTGATTTTCATTAGTTTCAAGAGCCCAGTGTACACTTTGGCCACTGAGGCGAATTAACCCACATGTTGGCCATGTGATGACAAAAGTTCATTAGCGACGCCTCAGTGGGTTAAGCGGTGGTGGTCATATATACACACACATCCGGTGAGGGGTTGATTTTCTTTTTATCTGGGATTTCCTTGAGAGCAACGCGCGCCTGCTGGGCTTTATTGCTAATAAATATTGGATCATAAATTCATAATTAATATTGTGGGGGGCGAATTCTTGGGACAGACAACGATGACGATGACGATGACTGTGACGACTGTGGGTGTAATAATGTTCTGTACTTAACCCCTTCCTCAGTTTGCCAAATGTAATTTAAGCAAATATTTTAATTGTTTTCGGTCCGAAGGACAAAGCCACCTGGCCACCACCGAAATCCTTTTTCACATGTGACGGAGTCTTGGATAAAATTTTATCGCTTGGAAATTTTTCAATTTGGGATATGGAAATGAAGATTTAAATGCCTGAAATGCAGACTCTTTCGGTATATACATACTATATATATATATACATATATATATAGAGCGAGTGATATATATATATATAGAGGGCTATAAAAATAGGGAGTGAGACAGGACTCTTATTAGGGCTAACAACCCGCAACAAAGCGGCCATGTCGAAGTCCTCAATCTCTCTTTTTTTTTCTTCTTTGCTCCTTCTTGGCAAAAAAGGGACATGTTCCACTTGAAAATAACAATTTCATTCAATTTTTGATCATTTGCTACCAGAAATGGCAAATCAAAAAGCCATAAAAACCGACAAACGACCGAAAAACCAAAAAACGGACAAACCGGCGAGTGTCCCGTTTTTGTCGTCCTTCGATGGGTGTGTGTGTGTGTGTTGCCGTGTGCCTCCTTTAGCTCCTTGAACGGTTACACGGGGGCGGGTTTTGTGGTACTCTGCCTGGACGAAGGGTTTCTTGGTTTTTTAAGGGAGGTTTGTCAAGCAAAAATATTTAAAAATATATTTATATATTTTTCTAAGATTTTAAATATTAAAATTAAAATTAAAAACAATTAAATTTGATAGATTTACAATATTTAATATTTTTTTATTTTATTTTGTGGCCCTAAAAAGTTGATAAAGTATTTTTATATATTTTTTAATGTAGCCATTAAATGATTAGTAAGTAAATAAGAGTATATTGCCACGAATAAAAATTATCAAATAATATTTATCATATTTTTGCAACTTTAATAGAATTTATTTGTATATTATATATATTGTTTAAGGCAATTAAAATATATATAATAAATAATTACAAGTATGTTACTAAGACAAGAAGATATTTTTAAATATTTTTCGGGGAATTAAAAAAAAAAGACAATTTATTTTAATATATTTTAGCAGTAATAAATAAATACAAGTATATTACTAAGACAATAAGTTATATTTAAATATTTTTCGGGGAATTTAAATATAAAAAATACAATTTATAATAATATTATAAGCAGGCATTACTTAATTTAAATTTATTAACCTAAAGTTACACGCAAAACTAAAGAATTTGAACTTAAATAATACATCAAAGGTGTTATTATTTCAAAAAGTAATTACAAAAACGTTTATTCAATATAATATTTATTTATTTGTATTTATTTAATTAAATTGATGTCCCTAAGGGCATTAATTTTAAATTTAAAGAAAAATATTCCCAAAAGAGTATTCAAAAATTCTATCTAAAAAATACTTACCAAAATTTCTGGTACTTGTGGTTTTTTCGGTGTTTTTTCTTTGCTTTTCTTTTCTTCTGTGGGTGGTGGAAGGGTCACGGGGTCGACGCTCGTTTGGTTTTAAAATTGAAATGATACACACAGCGCAGTCCACTTGCATGTGATTGAGTTTTCCTCAGCCTCAACCCTCGGTTACTGGTCCTGCTTTTCCTCTCCTTTCCTATTTTTTTGTTGTTGGGCAAATCCTGCACGCAAAATTTATGTTGCATAAAATTTTTCAATGAATTTTATACCAGGAATTTGACTTGCTTTCTTTTCTTAAATTTTAAAACGACTTTTTGTGCGCCCAGCACGTGGCATATGGAGCGTAAAGGATTCGGAATTGGGTTTGGGAATTTGGAAAGGGAATTGGGAAGCACCCCAAGGATTCGAGAAGGAAAAACACCACAAAATCGAAGGACACTCTTTATTTTTTTTGGTCGAATGGGGCTTAACATCTTAAAATATATCTATTAAATGGGTATTATTTAATCCGGAGTTTCTGTTAAAGATATAGAGATGAGGTAATGGATAGTTTTTAATATTAAAATAGAGGAAAATCGTACATAAAATGGAAAATTTATATTATTTTTCTTGAAAATTAGTTTTAACTGGGGTTAAAATTTTATTTGAAATTTCTTATAATGTTAACAGAAAAATTTGCTCAACAAGGAGTCCTCCTTCTTCCTTCCTTTTGTCTGGGTGCAGCTACAATTATTGCCTTTTCTTGTTGAACAATGGCCAGGACAAGTGGCCAGCA